TAGTATTTTTGAGATATTTTCTTTATTGTAATACTTGAAACTACAAACATAGTCTTTATTTTTTATTTTATCAAATCAAAAAAAAAACAACATTCAAGATTCGTAAAATTATCATAGTGACGAAAAATGTAAATGAATAATTTCTCCGAATACAATTTTTTCTCATTGTTTAGAGACTTTCAAATTGACTCATCATTTATTATTCATCTAATATATATCCTATTCTTTTGATTTCATAATTAATTGTAAATGTTCAATTAATTCATTCAATTCTAACATACTTTCACTTGGTTGAGCTATATATGTCAAACGATAATCTTTATCAATAACATATATTCGAACAGGCCATGATGAATATAATTTTTCAAATAAATTATCTTCTGGTTTATCAATTACAATAGACATTTGAAAACTAAAATCTCGAATAAAATCTTTCGCAACTGCTAAGCGTTCTTCAATTGTATGAGTTTGATTATATTGAATTGGCATTTCTGTTGGACTCCATCGTGCACTACAAATAGGCCATTCATCTTGTGCATGTGCTTCAAGTATATAAATAAAACGAAAATTAATATATTTATAATACACATTATATAAATCTGATAATCGAGACATAATAGCTCTTAATGGTGGTCATGAATACGATCCACCAATTAATACTGTTGATGAAGATTTTAATCCATCAAATAATTGAGTTTGTTGTCCATTGAGTTGAACAACTGGAACATTAGGTGCAATATCACCTATTTTTAAATCACCATCTCTAGCTCGATTATATTGAACATAAAGTGGAATATGTTTTAAATCAGGATATATTTGTGTTGCACATCGTAAACATAATAGTGCATCATCCATTTCATCATCTAAATTAAATTCATGAATAATTTGTCGTTGTAATTCATCAGTTACATTTAACCATGATGATGATGAGGATATCTTTTCTGCTTCGCAATAACGTTTTTGATATTCATCGGATAAACGTAATTCATTTTCACGAATTAACATACGTTTAAGAAGACTTTTTGGAATAAATGATTTAGGTGTTGTTGATGGCTATTTATTACAAAACAAAAAAAAACACAATAAGATTTACAATTCTTTCATGAATTTTTTTCTTACATTTGTATTTATTAAATCTTGATAGGTAAATGTCGCTCGACCACTAGTTACATGTGCCATACCCATTGTCACTTTCTTGTATTTTTTTTCTGCTTTTCACGTCTTTTTATACTAATTCTTGATTACTTGTGCATGGAGTAATAACATGAATCATCAGTAAAAGTTAACGTTGCTTGAAATATATCGACTAATATGAATCATAATTTGATGCATCGAGGTTTCTTTTTGTAGAAGTCAAAGTCACGAGTGATGAATCATTAGATAAGATTTCTATAAGAATATTTTGTATGATGTTATTTGAAATTAGTAGACATAAGATATGTTCGAAATCTTGTAATGTAGACAATATCCAAAGTGAAACTGACATCATGTGTGTCCCTAGTGAATGTATTGAGTTTAGGGTACTCTGCTATCAATATATTATAATAACCTTTGAGTACTTTACATGGTTTTAGCACTTGACTACAAAATACTTCTATATATTTAGTATATCAACTGATTGAAAAATTTTTCATAGAATACTATAGAAAGTGAACAAGTATCTGGAACGTAACCATGCATTGACAAGAGGAATTTTTAACTTTTCAATCACTTTTGAGTGAAAAGAGTCCGTGCCCTTCGTTCATTGCTATGAAGATGTAGCACTTCTACAATATTTTTTAAGTAAATGTCTAAGTTCAACATCAGAGAAACTAATTTGAGAATTTAAACTTTACATAGATGCACGCTTCAGTAAGAATATTTTATTGTGAAAGTTTTAGGTCGTTTGATTTTCTTCGAACCTTTAAGGGGGAGTTGACCCTCCCTCACCTGTCAATTTTTTTCAACAATTTATAGAGCTTGTCAAACTACATATATCCTGAAATTTTTATGGCGTTCTGCCTCTTTTTGCCAGAGTTATGCCTTCCGCAAGCTAAAAGTCGTTTTGGATCTCATACCACTATCAAATTTCGAAAATTTTTCGAATAAAAGATTTTAACCTAATTTTTCAATATTTTGATAGAGCATCAAGAGTTGTATATATCCTGAAAATTTTACAATTATACAATGAGTATTCTATGAGAAACAAAGACTTTTCTATAAACGTACATTTTACCTGTTCAATAGTATTTTTAGAAAACCTTGCCAAAAATTCCAAAACTATGGTAGGTTATCATAAAAATCTGTTCTTACCAAAAGATGTGCTACTCAATTCTGGATGTAGTAAGCAGAGTAGCATTTTCATTTTCAGAATAAAATCCGTACAAAAAACGCACTTATTTAACTATTTTGACTAGTATAGCTTTATTTACAGGCAAAATGAATGTCATATTTGAAATCATCATAAAAAACTGAGTCGATTGACATATGTTTTAATGAAAAATAAATTTTGTCAAAATTTCATCTGTACCCCCTCCAGCTCTTTTTTTAGAAATTTCGTCCGTGGTCTCCCCCAGGGTAAAATTTTGACGAAATTTATTTTTCATTAAAACATATGTCAATCGACTCAGTCTTTTATGATGATTTCAAATATGACATTCATTTTGCCTGTAAATAAAGCTATACTAGTCAAAATAGTTAAATAAATGCGTTTTTTTTTAGTATTTTGAACTGCTATAGAAAAATTCGTTTTTTGTAAGGATTTTATTCTGAAAATGAAAATGCTACTCTGCTTACTACATCCAGAATTGAGTAGCACATCTTTTGGTAAGAACAGATTTTGATGGTAACCTACCATAGTTTTGGAATTGTTGGCAAGGTTTTCCAAATATACTATTGAACAGGTAAAATGTACGTTTATAGAAAAATCTTTGTTTCTCATAGAATACTCATTGTATAATTGTAAAATTTTCAGGATATATATACAACTCTTGATGCTCTATCAAAATATTGAAAAATTAGGTTAAAATCTTTTATTCGAAAAATTTTCGAAATTTTATAGTGGTATGAGGTCCAAAACGACTTTTAGCTTGCGGAAGACATAACTCTAGCAAAATGAAGCAGAACGTCATAAAAATTTCAGGATATATGTAGTTTGACAAGCTCTATAAATTGTTGAGAAAAATTGACAGGTGAGGAGGGGGGCTCAGCCTCCCCCCTTAATACAAATACCAATATACAGGTTTATGTAAGTGAACTCTTTTCATTCCCTCGTGAGACGATTTTCAGTAGGGTACTCAACCTAGATCTGTTGACCTACTGATAACAAGATACTCAAAAAGTACCCTGCTGACAAATGACCTAGTACATGGATACCTTGAATTCAGTACATTCACTACGAGTTTCTTATGGAAAAGAATGTTTGACTTCTTTTTTTACTGGTTTGTTTTGTAAAGTATGTTTATAGAAATATTTTTGTGGTTAGTTACAATGTTTGTCAAGACAGAGAAAAAAACATAAGATTTTCTTTTATTTAAATATATTCAATTGAAATTTTTGTCATCAATAAAATGAATTCAATATTTGTAAACCAGTATATCGATTACAGTCAAAACTTTCGATCCGTAATCTTTTATCTCACTTGCAATGTTCAGTAGATTTTCAAGAGTACAATGGATACTTTTTTAGATGAATAAATCATTGCTTAACTATTTATTTCAACAATAATAAAATGGTTTTTTTTCTATTAGATATAGAAATAACAATTATGTAATGTCAATTATCTTGAATTATTTTACTTTATATTTCAAGGTGACGATCAAGGGAAACGACGCTTTACCATTAATTAAATAATGTTTTTTTTTTGCTAATTGAGAAAAATATAAATAAATTTTTATCTCCTGAATGTTATAATATGAAAATTTAGTTAACTCGAAAATATTTGAATTCTCACTTTATATTTCTTCTTCTTCGATTGTTGTTTTTTACTTAATTTAAAAAACAAAACAGCTTACATATAAATACGTTTAATGATAAGCAAGCAATACTAAGTGTCAGAAAACGAAAAGTTTATTGATTCTCTTATGTAAAAGTCTGTCAAATGATTGTATAAAGATAAAATTTGTCTATAAGCAAACAATTCAAATATGATTTTATTTAAATAAGATTATCTTGATATTTTATTTACTTATTAATTCTGAATAAATTACTTGTGGCGTTATCTAGAAATGATCTAAACCTATAAGAAAGAAGGTCGATGGAAAGAGATGTCACTGAATGTTTCTCTTTTTTTTTCGGGAAGTCATTCATCAATATATCAGAGTTGTCTTTTTCCATTCGATACATATTATATTGTTTATGTTACAATAATCTTATAAGTTGATGTAAAGAAAAAGAAATGAATATTGAAAATTATATTTCACCACCAGAAGCACCTGTATTCTATCCAACATGTGATGAATTTATTGATCCGCTTGAATATATTGAAAAAATTCGTCCGATTGCATCTCGAGCTGGATTGTGTAAAATAATACCACCAAAGGTAAACTTATATCAACGAGGTCATATAAATTGCTGTTTTTAATTTTGTTTTTGTTTTGGTCTAAAAGGAATGGCAACCACCATTTTGCATCAACGTTGATGAATTTCGTTTTACACCACGTATACAACGTATTAATGAACTTGAAGCTGGTACACGAGCAAAAATAAAATTTTATGAACGTTTAACAAAATTATTTGAGTCTCAAGGACTTAAATTAAAAATTCCGACTGTTGAAAAAGAAAGTTTAGATTTGGCAAAATTACATAAAGTTAGTCATACGTTTTCTTTACTTTGTTTTGTTTTTCTATTAAGAATAAAAAAAGATAATTTTTGAATTGAAATTTTATTTGTATTTTTTTTTGTTATCATTAGACTGTTAAAGAAGAAGGTGGATATGATATGTGTTGTTCACAAAAAAAATGGGCTAATGTTGCACGTAAAATGAATTTTCATGATACACAAACAAGTCGTGTTCTAAAACAACATTATGAAAAATTATTATTATCTTATGATGTTTATGAAACAGGTATTTATGAAGAACATACAAATCTAACAAATCAAACTGATTTGAAAAAAGGAAATAATTCAAAAACAGGTAGATTTATTATTAATTATTCTTATTAAAAAATTTAACACGCTTCGTTTTTTGTTTGTATGTTGTTTTCAATTATTTAGTTGAATCAAATGGAACAATGAAAAATGGAAATAAACGAAAAGATATTTCATCACCATCAATTACAAATCATGCTGATCCGGTAAGAAATAACAGCTCATGTCAGTTTGAGGTAGTTTTTTCATAGAATAATAGTAAGATAAATTTACAAAGCACGGAAATCGAATGGATCAAAATTTTTAATTACACTGAAAAAAAAACAGTTTAATTTCGTCGTTATCTTTGGACGAATCGAAACATGTAAAATATAGAAGCAATTTGTTATAAATAAGCTAGACCAGTAATTGACATATACTAAATAGGTTTGAGAAAATTCATAACTTTGAAAAATAATTTTTCAATTTAACTCAATCTATTTTCATATTGAAATGACGAGTGACATTCATAGACAAATGCAAAATAACATATCCTTTAATACTAATGTAAAAACAAATAAATTCAAAACAGGATGTTAATTCAAAAAGAATTTTCATTAGTAGTTCTTTTGTTCAGTATACCATCTTTTAAATACTTAACGAAAAGGGTAACTATCGACGCTTATCATTATTAAAATTCATAATTCTTTTTAGTTTGCCAATTTTGTATGTAAATCTTGTACGCGTGGTGATGATGACAGTTATTTATTAATTTGTGACATATGTGATAATTGCTATCATACATATTGTCTTATACCAGCTTTAATTGAAATTCCTCGTGGTCAATGGCGATGTCCTAAATGTGTTGCACAAGTAAATTAAATATTAAAAACTTATTGTTTTTTTTTTCATACAAAAAACAATTGATTTTTATTTAGTTATATCATACGGCAACACCAACGGATGCGTACGGATTTGAACAATCAGCAAAAGTATATACACTAGGAGAGTTTGGTGAAATGGCTGATGAATTCAAACGAAATTATTTTAAAAAACCATTATCAGTATGTTTTATTTATTAGAAAAAAACAATACAAAAAAAAACGTTTTCTTTCGTCAAATAAATCTTTAGGACATA